GATAATCTACAGTATTTATTACAAGGACATTTCATCTTGCTTCTCCTAAAATATCATTTGCACAGAGAGAGAAATTTTTAGGCTGTTAATTGTTTGCTTTGATCCAGTGAATATCTACCGTTATGAATTCGAAATTAGCAAAGAAATAACAGTAAAGTCTTGTTGCAAAACAGAAAATTCAGCAATGGAGACATTGGAAGTAATATGTATAACATACTGGAATCAAATACACACTCAGCTCAATTTTTTCATAAAGGACGCATGGATGTTAATAATGACTCAGAAGTGATCGCTCTTCGAAGTCCGAAACAAGTGAGACCACTGAAAAATTTCGACTATTGTTGCTGACTATCTCTTCGAATAACAGCTGATGAGTTTAACATCAGCATAGCTACTAATAAAATCATCAGATAACATCTTGAAAAGAGGAAAATTTGCCCTTCTTTTGTCCCTAAAGAATAAAAGAAGAACGGATTTCCGAATATTATTATTTCATCCACATGACAAATGTTAATCCTGCTTTTTTAGCCAAATTTCGATTGGACACGAAACTTGGAGCTTTGCTTGTGAAAGCAATCATGTGCAGGGTTTGGAGAAAGTTCACAATGGCCACAGAAACTTCACTTCAAAAATCAGAAACAACAAATATGCAAATATCAATATTTGGGGACAGTTCTGATGGAAAGAGATAATTCACCAGGAATTTAATTTTATAGAACCGATGGTGAATTTTATAGTTTTAAGATATAATCAACAGACATACAAAGAGAATCTAGTACGCTAGATTTGAAAACGTTGAATCGAATATTCAGTTTTTGTTGCATGACAATGCACCGTCACACATATCCATTTTATTCAAACAGTTTCCAACAACGAAAAATATCATAACTGTCAGTCATTCTTTCTTCACCACATATGGACCCTTCAGATTAATATCTCTTTCCTAAGACGAACGCCTTATTTCCAAATTCATTATTTTGACACCATTGAAAAAATTCATGAAAACGTAACGACAGACTAAAACAGCATTGCAAAAAATGAATTCTTTGATACAGCCAGGTAAGCTATATCAACGTGCCAAGCGTTTTATGGGCTTTCACAAGGTTTGTACAAGGTTTCACAAGGTTGTTATTTAGCAAAAACACTTTTTTATTAAAGTTATTGAAACAAAAGCAGCAGTATTACATTACGTGAATTCAAAATCATGTAGGGTCACCTTCCGATTAACTGAATAATACCGCGGACGACATCATCTCCGGTTAACTTAAAATCGCGATTAATCTGATGGAAAAAAGCGCAAAAGAAATATAATCCATTATATAAATAACAGCAAAATATCGTTAGCATAATATACAGTTATACAATTTACCTATATTTTCAAGCAGTTCATTCTAATACTAAATTCATTTCGTTAAATAAATTAAATCGGTATTCAAAACAAAAATAATCCACTTCACGAAGGATAAAGGACAGGGTCTATTTACTACATGTTGGTAGGTTCTGCTCCCCATCCGTCAATATCTAATGAGAGGATAAAGCCTCGCATTCTTGAACGCTAAGAAGTGAGAATATCGACTCCTTCAATTTTCGATTTTTTACGAATTATCCTTTTTTTTCCGAAGATTTTCCGAACGCACTGTGTATAAATATGCAAATGTACATTTTCTCGATTTTAAGCAACCAAATATACACCCTGTCGACAAATGTTCTGACTCAGCCTTATTTTAGAAATATTATCTTACCAGATTCTCAAGCAATAAAATTTCATGAGAATATTAATAGCATATTTTAAGACTTGAAAAGCTATAAAATTACTGTTGTACATATTATCTCGGCATATGTAATAAAATTATAAATTAAAGACGCTAATAAATAAAAAAAACAATATCATTGAACGGTATTTAAGGAGAAAAAAATGAATCTCCAATTATTATAATTATTAACCCCCGTCAATCCATATTAAACATTATATCAAAAATCGCAAACTTTGAGATTAAATATTTTGGTTAATTTTTGTCGTACAGTAACCAAACTTTGTGCTTTATTTGTACGAAGAGTACAATGTTAGCGAAGGAGACAGAGGAGCGTATGAAAAATTCTATTTCGTAATTTTTATATAATTGATATCTTTAAATTTAAAAGTGCCAAAATATGAATTTATTATTGCGTCATTTAAAATATTTTTGTAACTGGAAATCTATGTCTATGATAGGGTTAAGAAAATGAAGATTTGTTAAAGATTTTTGTGGGACACTGGATATGCAATGAGAAAACAGAACACTTTCGCGACTGTGCTCGTCTTAAAGCCATAGCATTGAAATACCCAGAGTTTTCAAAAGTGTTTACCAGTCGGTGGAAGATTTTAAAGATGCGACAACGTTTAAGGCGACTTCAAATAATGAAAATTTCATTATTTGCCTTTTTCTTCAACAGCGCGAACTCTGGGATATTGCCTTTTCTAGAAATTTATCACAAGTGATCTATTCTTTACAATTGCCTCTAAGCTTTTTATTTTCAGTATATTAAGATAGTTTCCAAGACAATATACTCAACTGAGTTTGAACCTACTTCTTACCTGAATGCCAAAGATCTGTCATTGGCATCATGAGACCAGCTACTGGATATTTCAAATTTTGATGAACATAATATCTGATTCACAATAGGTTCGATACTCCTTCAAATTTGATCACTTGTCATTCATTTATATTTCACTAATGATACACACTCCGGAATACTTTTATTTCAAAGGTTCCGAAGATTTCTACATCTGTAGAAACCTTAAATTTTTTTTCAGACAGCAAACGCTCCGGACCTTCTGATTGCTAGCTAGACGTGTGCTTTCCAATTACACAACGAAGACAACTGGGTAGGAGGATGGAAATACCTTACATTCTCCCCCACTTAAATGACCACTGGGAAGGTGAGAATCCAATCCTTAAGTCCCGGTGATGAAGAATTATCGTCTACCACATCTTAGTTCTGGCACTACCGCAGAGTCCTTACATTTTTTCGGGGACAGCAAAATGGAAAGTCGGGAACAGATTTTTATCCGTTGCAGTGTCTAGCAAGTACTGCATTCTGTAAATCCAAGGCCCTTACTAATTTATGAGAAAAAGCACTAATCACCTAAGTTAATAAAATTGTTTTTCCAAAATACTAAACGTATGTAACTAATTATTGTTTTGGGGATCTGTAGTGTAATAATTCGTTGCTCAATGAGACTAATTTGACTAAGACTCATTTGCTTAAAACTAAATTTAATTTTTGATTCTTAATAATTAAGCTTAATAAACATAAGCTTAAAAGCTTAGTTTATGATAAATAGCGTTGTTTAAAAAACTAGCCAGAATAATTAGAGAAAAAATAAATTTTTCGTACCACGTTTTACAGCTAAAGACCAATAAAAAATAGTGACATAGGCTTAGGTGTAGAATAATAAATTTGGGAATATTCATTATAAATGTTGATAACTTTATTGTTTTGATTATTGAAAGGTGTTTTCCTTTAACTCATTTTCTTTCCGTAAGGTAATGTAAAGAGACACATAACTGGTGCGTATTCGAGAGGTCTAGGTTCGAGTCTCGGCGAGGACACTGCTTATTTTTCATTAGTCCTCCTTCAAAAACACCTAATGGCTGTACAAGCTTAACTATATTAAGTACACTGAACACTTCTAGGATAACACCTTTCAGCCGTTGTACAGATGGCATTACTTACAACTTCGTTATGGTAGATAACTTTTCATAGCTTTTAAAATGTAACAGCTTTTATAACTGATACATCATCTGAAGACATCTTCCGTATTTTACTATAATACCTTGATTTTGTTTCACTGTGAAATACTGCATTTACTTCGAATTCAAGCGGTTCCTCGAATTTAAGCAATAATATTTTAAAATTAATAAACGATTTTAATATTATGTAACCGTAATACTACCAATGGTCGTAATACTATTCGCATGTGCAGCGTATAATGCAAAGACCCGACTCACAGGGAATGGGAGAATGCTAGAAATAAGATGTTAAATGTTAGGTTATGTTAAATTACTTAAAAATGACAAAACACACGAAGGCTGTTTGCTCAAGGGCAGGTATTCCTTCATGGAAGGGCTTTCTAAGGAAAACTGGCTCGTACTCACTTTACACACGGGAAAACTACGAACACCAACCCTCTCGCCTGTATTCAAACTGAGACGAATCACCAGTACTCAGCAGTCTTAACCACTCTACTGGTGGGATTAATAAGATGCTAAAATATTTGCTTTGAATTTAAGCCGAAACCTAAATTTTTATTCCCAAAGAGCTAAATAATAAGTGCTGTTCAAATTTGAAGCAAGGCTGTATTTTTGTGATTGGGGGGGGGGGTTAAGTTCGAAACTGCTGTTTGTTTTGCGACCTGCATACATCTTGATATGCAGAGCAAAATTAATCCCATTCTTGTACAAAATTTCTTTAAATTAAATTGAATTAATTTTCATGGGTTTATACTGCAATACTTATAAAAATTTCTATATAAAGGGATTTTTCTTGAAGACATATCGCAAAAAGTATTCCTGAAACATTTGCGATTTCTATAAATACTTCTCATTAAAATCCTCTGAAAGTCATAAATGTTACACATCATATTACATTCCTCAATCGATTTCATAATACGAAGAGGAAATGAATCCACATCAGTTCGAAAGAAGTGCTTGAAATGATATTCGTGTGCTTCAAAATAACACTTCGTAAGCATTAACTCCCAAAATTTCACTTTAATTTCTACTGAAAATAAATTCTTCACTTCTCTCTCTGGATCAGTGGGTCACATGAGCCTAGATCGAATTCTTAACGGAAATAACCTAAGTATAAATTTTCCTCGGATTCCAGTAGCTGCGAATCCGCACATCTTTGCAAGAGACCAATTACGTATATAGATTCCATGCTGGGACACACAGGAAAGATATACTGAAGGTGAACGCCTTAGAGGAAAAAAAAAACTGGATTATTTTCTCTTTTTTTAAAAACCTCGATCTTCAAGAAGTTGATATATATATAAATTAACAGCGAAGCAAAGAAGATCAAGTTTCAGTGCATTGGGTGCGGTGAGAAGTTTCTTTCAAGGGATAAGCAAGGCTTCTAGAGGTAAGTACCATACGATATGGCATAGAAGTTTCAAAAGTCAAGTAAATTCTTAATAATATATAACAGTTGCGAACTTCATAAAGATTTGTAGGTATTTGAAATTTTATATATCAACGTTTTAGTATCTAATCAGTCAAACGAATTTTTCGATCTATTTTACAAGCTGGTATTGCAATTTTGAAGTTATATTAGCTTAAATTAAAGCATTTCTTAATTCGGTTTGTAATCTTGCCTAAATTTTACGGCTCTTCTTTCCATCGATAATTTATATGCAATTTCAACCTTTACGGCTCTTTACATATTTTATTTCCATATATTTATTCTAAGTATAATCTAAGTTCACAGATCTATAATGTCTATATTTCAACATAACATAAATTTCAAATAACATGACTAAATTTCAACTTCTACTTGATCATTGAATAGCTGTATTAGTTAAGTGTTAAAGAATTTTACATGTTTTGCTTTGTTAATATGTATTCAAAATTCCATCTTCGTCAATCATCAATAGGCTTAAACTTTAATTTCCACTCTGTCATAAAGCATTATTCATTTAGCACTAAGCAAGTTTGCATATTTAATTTCTGAATATTTATTCATTTCTCATTGGTTTGAAATGTGATTAAACTTCAACCTCTACTTGATCATTTAACATATATAGAAATATTAGCTTATTGCTTAAGAAATTCACATTTTCTATAACCAAATATTTATACAAAATTAAATGTTTATCAATCTATAATACGATTAAGCTTCAATTTCCACTTTTCACTCTACATGCAAGTGAGTTTAGCGCTAAAAATTTAAGCTTTTGAACAACCTATAAATAAAAGCACAAAATGTACACTAAAGGCAGTTAAAAGCTCATTGAAAACTTACTGTTGTGATCCAAAGCTATCACAAACGATTCCATGGAACATCAAAATCCAGTATATTGGTCAATGCAGTAAACCCTTGCCGAACGCAGGGATTACATCATTAACACATTGCGCGTAAGGCAAAACCGCGTTCCGCAAAGTTAAGTTTCTATGGAAAAAACAGGTTAGAGGTAATTCAGATTAAGAAAACGTGTATAATTTACACAGACCTAAATATTATTGTTATTAAAAGGAAAAAATGTTAATTGAAAGGATTTCTATTACTGCTTAATAATGATTTAATTATTTTTAATAGCTAATGATTTTTGCTTGGGAGAACGTCTGACATAATTCATTTAATTTTTCGCTGTCTAGAGTGTAAAGTTTTTTTAATACTCCTTACAATGTGCCCTCTTCTTCTTCAATTGAGTTAATTTCTATTATCAATCAGACAGTTCTTGTGCTTTTTTTTCAAAAATTTGTTTAACATCTTGTATGAAGGCATTTTATCTTTTTCTTTCACCGTCTGCTAGTGTTCAACCAATTCTTTATTTGCTATTTTACGATCGTCCTTTTCGACTAATTCTTTAATTTCTCCATATCTGAAAATTCTTCGTTGTCTTTGTAGCATTTCCTTTGCTTCATTTTCAGTCAATGAAAATCCTTTAAAATTGCTGACGTCTTCCGATCAGCGCTGATGCTAGCAAATATTCATTGTTGGTGAATTTACTGGTTCGCATGCAAGTTCAGTCATTTCTATGCAGTGTCTTATGTTTAATTGCTCCCAAAATGCCATTATTGTGTCATACTAGTTTTTTAGAGAAGTAAACATGCCTGATATAATATGCTTTATATGTTTTTATCATTACTTTATATACTGGATGTATTTAAGAAAGCGGTGTTAAGTGGAAGGAATAAAACCTCTGTTCTGCATTCGGATGCAATGTTGTGAAGGCTTCAGTACCACGTCCTGGAGCACTATCGAGAATTATGAGAACTTAAGATCTCAGATTTTGCTGTTCTAAGTTTAATGAAGGAATTTTCAAACCAGTTTTTAAGGAGAATTATGGCAACACGGCTGATGCTCTGAAGCGTACCGCGTATGATTGCAATTCTCGCGTTGGACAGATTAAATGGAGGCAATTAAGGAAACGCGTGTCTGCAAAATCGCGTTCTGCATGTCCGCATTCTGCGAAGGTTTTATTACATTCTCTTCAAAGCAATCTCCTTCTCTGGAACGCAGTTTTTTTTTTTTTTTTTTTTTCAATTCTCGAAACACGTTTTACAGTATTTTTGCAAAACCTCTTCAGCGCTCGCAGCGAAATCTCTTTTATTCCATCAATAGATTCAAAACGATGGACACGAATCAGCAGTTTCAAAAGTAGAAAGAAGCAAAAGCGAAAAGGTATCATATAATATGGATACGAAGTTTTGTATTACTTGAATTTCTGACAGATTTTCACAAATAACAAGATCGGTATGGGCAGGTTCATTATCGCAGTTCAAACTCCAAAAATTCCTCAGTTCAGATTTTTTTTAATGAACTGCTTTAATTATACGGTACAGAGCTCTTATACATTATTCTTAGTTGAGGCTTTATTAATTTATGGTGGCACAACATCACGGTATTTAAAGAAAAACAAGCAACACTACGTTGATTTGACTGACTGACTGTGATGCTGTTCTTTCAGAACTTTTTCCTTTCGAGGGCCTATCAAAAGCGTACATGTATGCTTTCATCACGGATAATAATGTGCTTTGAAGAAGCTCACTCACAGAAAATATTTCATGAGCATTTTAAACATGTTTATCATGGAACAATTTAAGAAGTGATGCGCATCGCAAATCCAAATTATCTTTCAAAACTGCTTGACAGGGTCCAAATGATGTAGAAACGTGTTCGATACTATCTTTAGCAATGCAGTGACGATCATTAAGCGCCAGATCTCTGGCGTGATACACATGTAGAGTGGTTCATCTCCAGTGCATTCTCTGCCTTTCTAACGACTTAAACAACTGTTACTTAGAAATTCTTATTTTTGCTAAACATGATGTCCTTAAAGACTCTTGCAAAATTTACATGTTTTTGTGGAAATAAAATTTAACATGCCTTCTTTACTCATTAACATTTGCTCTCCAGGGGAATCGCGAAAGCAAAACCTCTTTATTCTTTAAAAACGAATTTTTGTGCAAATGATGAGAGAAAATGAAATCGGATTGTTACCAGATGTCGATGAAAGTCGCTATAATGTCTACAAAACTTGTGCAAACTATTTCTTTCACCAATATTTTGAATGAGTCATTTTTTATCACAGTCGTATATTTTATAAATTTAATAAATATGAAAACTTAATGCTTTAATAATAAATATGAACGCTTTAATAATCATCGTAATTGTATAGAAAAAATGTTGATTATTCACTTAATATAACATTAAGAAAATTCGAATTCACGCGGATAAGAACAGAAATATTACAAGACTTTTCAGAGCATTAAGGAAGCCTGCAAGTAGCAGATTATTTTGAATCAAAGTAATTAAGCGAAATTTCGTTTCAAATATTTAGTATATCATTTAAATTCAAAATAAATATGTCTAGTAATATAGGAATTATAATCAAGCATATACATAATGCAATAGACAGAATTTACAGTCAGAAAAGAAAACTTATAGATCATTAAAATGCGTCATTTCTAGAAAAGAGTTTAATAATTAAATTAATTCATTACAGCACAGCATTAAAATTTTCAGTTACTGAAATATTTTTTCCCTTACAAGTAGAATTTCATACCTTACAATTGAAGTTCCGTAAGTACGTGTTACTTACATAACAAAAAATTAAATGAAATAAATTAAATTGGTCTTTTCTCGTTTGTTCTTACAACCTTACCTATAAAAAAAAATATATATATATATATATTTAATTGCTACATTCTTAATAAATTGCAGGCAATTTGATCTTACGTTCACATTGTAATTTAAGATAATTTTGAATTACTAATGCACAATTTAAAAATTATAAATACTACATATTTTAAGCAAAATTATTTTTAATTAATAATTATAATATGAGGAGAAATTTTAATTTTCTCATTTAACCTATACATAGTGGTCTCAAACTCGCGCTCAGCGGGCCTCACGTAATTTCGAGGCTTTACGCGGCCCGCGAATATATTTCCCGTAAATAAATTAGAATCAATTACCGCGTTCTCTTTACGGAATCACAGGTTATATTTTCGACAGCCAATTTTCTCTGTTTTACCGCGAAATAATTCTTGACGACTTTTACGGCGTTTTAAGATTTGTAAATGCCGTGTTTGACTATTAGCTAAGGTTATTAAGGACTATCAGCTGGGGCGAACATAAATAAGTCTCAAAACAAAAATAGAATGTATTAAAAAAATAATAATGAAAATGCGCTTGAGTTTATGCTATGGTACATTATGATACATGCTTAAAATATATTTTTCATTGTTAAACTATTTCAGAATTCAAGGAAATGGGACAAGAATACACACGCAGGTCGTCCCTCACATGGACCTTCTTCCTGTTGGTGCTGTTGACAACTCAACTGGATGACAGCGAAGCATTTGTCAGCTTGAAAGTGAAGAAACTTCTGAAAAAAGCCCTTTTGTTGAAAGCTTTGACAAGTCCGAAAGGAATCGCCATTATTCCTATTCCTATACCACTGAGTCTCTTGCAAAAGTTAAAAGAAAAGAAGGAGGAAGAAAAGAAAACGCCCCCGCCTATGCCCTACCCGTAAGTAAATAGAATTTAGGAGAAGCATGAGTGCTAAACTAAATTTTTAAGCACAACACTGAAATTTTCAACTGCTTATTTCAAATTTTATCGTAAATCTTACTATATACGTATATTGGGTGCAATACTTATGAGAAAATTGTCGGTAGGTAGTGTGAAGTTAGATTTTTGACTATCGGTTCAATTAATTGATATCATTGTCGTAATTCAGAATTGGCTCCATTGAAATGATTTGGGTTTGAGAAGTTGTAACTCTGCTATTTAAATTTATCCGTAGAATATGTCCACTTAACAATAAGCTCTTCAGAGTTATTTCCGAGGATCTCAATAATCGGCCACTTGTTTCCCAAGCATTGGGCAAATTCCATCAATAGCTTACCCATCTCATAACCAAGAACATTGAGTAGCAGGTAGGGACAATGCAATATTACAACCACTAGACAGAGCTAGGTAGCTGCAAACATTCATACTTTCCCCAGGTTTCAAATCCTTAGCCAACATTATGGCGGAGGATCGGCACCGCTACCCACCATACGACTACCATACCACCATCCAATCAACTTACACACAAACACAGGTTTAAAATTCAATAAGTTTTGTTTTTCTATGCTTGGTCGGTTACAACCAAAGGAAAAATTTGCAAATTAAGGAATCGATTATCTAAAATAACCGATAACACCGTAGGGGGCTTGCTACGACATTTACTATTACCAAAATAAAATCCTTTCAGACGAGACACACTTTTTTTCCTCTCATTTTAAATGAGCGTTTACGATCTTCGAAAGTCAGTGAAAGTCGATGCGGCCTCCGACCAAAGCTAACTCTTCCCGAACAGACTGGAGTTATTTCTTATGAGCAGCAAACCAGGTTTTTACTCCATAAGCCACGAAATGTAGTTTGATAAATTTTGAGTACATTCTTATAATTTGCGTAACTTTCTGATCTAGCAGAATATACACGGCATAACTCAAAGAAAAGATAGGACAGGGTTACATTAAACTTAAGTTGTGAAACACATTTCTCTCTTATTAAAGAAAGAATTTTGTTTTTACGGTATGTACTCAATAATATACGTTTAAGAATTAATAAGCATTTATTTGCGTCTTCAGCCCCTTACTTAATAATTAAAAGTTTCTTAGACAAAGCAAGCACTGCGCACTTATTTAAAAATTATAGACCAGTACCTTACGAACAGTAATCCATCACTGAGTAGCAACTTATTGGCAACCACTGTAATATTGTGGTTTCACCTTTTCTCGTCTCGACATTTTCCTCATTTAGAGAATGCCTAAAATCTATCAGAATAGTAAGTAGGCGTACTCAGCGCTTAAAACTGAATAAACCATGTCAAGTTCTTTAGTGGTAATCCTTCAGAATTTTAAGTAGGATCTGTTTAGCATTCGGCTTTGAAAGCGCATTTATAATGCTTGAAATTTCACGAGTATCTTTCTTTTCGTTTCGTATTTATTTTACATCTAGAAGGAAAGTATTTATTTACTTTATTTTTATTTTTTTTACGAAACGTTTTCGAAGAAAACCGAGTCCCTTCAGATTAAGTTGTGGTCTGCTCTTCTTTTTTTTTTACAGTAGTTATTGCTAGAAGCCGCTAAATTAGTAAGAATGCATTTTCGAATCCCAGGTTATGCTCGGACATTTACTATGATTACCTACGCAAACTAAATTCCTAACTAATTAAAACATACTGTATTCATATTCCAAAATTAACTAACGTATGGAAGCAAAACTTATACTTTTTCGTTTCTTTTGTTTGCAGAATGCATACCATGGAATACGCTTGGGTGCCACCAAAGGAAATGGATATGATGATGCCACCACCAAAGGATGGAAAAATGATGCCAAGTGGCCATTATGGAATGATCGCAGGCATGTATTGAAGTCCATGCTTCTAATGATAACCAGAAACAGTGAAAGTTTCAAGCCAAACTACGGGCAACACGGCAATGTAAAAGCGCAGCTGAAAGTTCTATATTGTATATAGTTTACTTGTAAAGACAATTTTTCGAATGATACGCATTACGGATGCTTCCCACCGAGTGTTTAAATAAGATATTACAATTCTTTTTAGATTCAATCATCCAAAATTGGGCTGCTAATAGATATATTTCATTGCTAATGTAAAGCAATTGGTTTCACTCAAAATAAAGAAGTAAACCTTAAAAGAGCATGAAAGTTAAGGAGCCAGTAATAATATAATTTGCAATAAAAATGCATGGGATACAGTCTATTAGTTGGACGTAACAGATTTATATAATTATATATTAACTAATCAAAAGATTAGTCATGCAATATGTTAGAAGTAAACTATCAAATCCCTTGCTTTTATCTGAATTTATCAAATCACTTCCTGTGTACATCTATGTAAAATAAATAATTTTTAGAAGATCTAGGAAATTTCTTAATGTGTTACTGTTTATTCATTTCATTTAATAACTCCACGAGGGAAAAATGAAGTGGTTGCAAATCTATCAGAATTACTTGATTTATTTTAAAATTGCAATAATACCTTGCTTAAAGTGTGATAAAGTGAAGATATTCAAAGAAAATTTGTCTTCTCGATATCAGTCTGAGATTTGTAATTCATGCTGTTTTACAGATTAAAAAAAAAAAAAAAGAAAACTCACTTTTATGAAATATGTGCAGAAATATACAGGAAAAACTCATTTTGATTAATAAGTTATATTTTCGTGTTTTTAGGGAAAAAAACTGATGATCAAAATTAATATCACAATGCTGATAAAAGAAATTTCCTACATTTCTAAAGGAATTTGATGGCTTTAAAACAATGGTATTTTTTAACATAAATCTCTGATTGTTGCGCAAATGATAACTTTAAGATAAAGCGTTTCCTGTTTACTGATTAAGCAAAGAGCCTAGAACTTTTCAATGTAGTCAATATTATAAATTCTTTGGATCTCATCCGAACTTTGAAAATATCTTAAAACACACAAGTTCTAAAATATAAGTAAATTATTTGTGAATTGTAAAGAAATTACAATTTTCTTTCTCTTTATATATCTAAGACACTTATGCTTGTTTAATTAAGTTTTCTTAAATGCCATGTTTGTCCATTTTAATACGGCGAAACATAAGAAATCTAATCAGAGGGAAACCTTCGTAAAGGATCTTCCTTCTAAGAGAAATTGGCTAGTATTTACAATACACATCACTATTCAAACTTAAAACCAGTTCCATTCCTCATGAATTATAAAACGCAAGTTATAATTCCTAAAGTGAAAGTGAGATCATTAATATCCAATGGAATAAAACTACTGAATACTGGTATTTCTACCCAAGCTCAAATCCTATACTAGGTATACAGTGCGCTTAGCTTTGTCCAAAAGAAAAAAAATTTCCTATAACTTCACGATTTTAACAAGAACCAAAACAATTACAACTAATTAATTTTGCAGCCAGATTGCAAAAAAGATTCGTAGAAGAGATTTCACTTTTAACGTTGCAGTCACTGATTTTAATTACAAATCAGTATTTGAAAACAGTTTCATTCATCTTCAATAGATGGCAGCACCGTTCATCCACATAATATCAAAATGAACAGTGCCACTATTAAGCGGTATAAATTTAAAATTACTAAGAAATAAATGATATCATTCAAAAAGCCATCTTTAGAGGTAATTATACAATTTTACGAAAACTATGACTAGTATTCAAACCAGACTCTTTTTTAGAGTTAGAATCAAATTCATAATGATTATGTTAAAGTGTCTCCAAACAACTGTCAAATAACGCTTAACTATGATAAAATGCAAATGTGCTCTGTTAATTTTCTTCTGTTACAAATTAAACTATTTGTGGAGTAATAAATTATTACTTAAATTTTAGTTTGTTAATTTTACTAGGAACAGCGAGTCAATAAAAAGAGATGGGCGACAGTCTCGATGTTGTGACATTGTAGACCGATGCAATTTAGCTGCTGTTTTTCGTATTTCGAAAGCTCGACTTTTGATATGCATGATTACTCTCTAAAACACGAATTTTGACATAAAATCGGATTTCTTCTGAAATAACATGCTGAACCCCGCCCCCTACTGTTCAATACTGTGCCTTAAATTACGCAAAAATGGCATGAGTAGTTTCTTTAAATTACCAGCAGACGTTTAGTTCAGAAACAATACTTGAATTTGGTTTATATTCCATAATATTGGGTTTTAATTATTTTTTCACTGTTTAAAGAAAACAATTAGATTAAACCTAAATTTCACATTATAAAGATATAAACTGAAATTTAAGTTTAACCATATAAATAAATTAAGCATACAGCTATTAATCTTCTGTTTCTAACTGATTCTTATCGAACTGCAAGGGTTAATATAAAGGAAAAACATTGCTCTTTCTGTTTAGAATTTTGTTCTTATTTTGAAAATTGTAATTCAATTCAATCAATAATCGAATGAATTTATTTTCCAAATAAAGCTACTTAAAACGCAGAGAAATTGTTAACAGTATTTTTCTGTTAACTGTAACTTGAGTCACTCTTCTGTTCCTTTAATGATGTCGAATTAACCGTGACTTTCTGTTAATCGTGCTTTCTACGGTATTACCCCTTTTAATAAAAAGCCTATTGCAGATAAACATCATTAAATCATTCGTTGAAAATGAATAGTTATGCGTAAAAGTAAATTAAGCGAGCAGAGATTTGATCTTCTGTTTCCCTTTAACTCCTAACAAAATATTATACTAATTATTTACTATTATAATTATTAATTTATGCACAAAAGTAAGGTTAATTTACGCACCCAAATTAACTTAACTGTGCATTAAACTACTTAAAAATACGAGTAAATTGTTAATAGCATCTTCTATTAATTGTAATAAGGCTTATTCCTTTTTCTTCTGGTATTTTCTCCCTCCTTTCCGCATGCCTTCCTGGTGTAACGTGTAGCACACTCGGCGCGTATTCGAGAGGTCCAGGTTCGAGTTCCGGCGACGGCATTGCACATTTTTTATTTTTTCCAATTCAAAATAGCTTAATGACTCCACAGTGGCGCCCGAACTAAAAGGTGGTGCATGATGATTCTTCACCTCCAGGATTTGGGGATTGGGTCTCCTAATCCCCAGTCGACCTTTAACCCTTTCGCCGTCCTCTCCTGTCGGCGAAAATTTCTCCCCCAGCGGCACTTTGTTTTTCACAGCGTGTAATGTTATTTTCTCTGTACATACATAACTTTCCGTACATAACTTTCGTAGTGGATGAATATAAATGAATATTAAGTAAAATTACAAGGAAATAAAGCATAATGGAAAAGTAATAATATCTCTGCTTATTTCTAACAGCAGGATTAATTTGATAACATCTGATCCAGGTGGTCCACTCGTCCCGTTTTGTTGTTGTAATCTTTTACAATTATTGTTTTGTTTACAGTTCTTTTCCGTGTTTCAGCATCAATCATAGAGTTATTATGGACTGTACTCATTAAACGTATTCGTAATTTTGTATTCCTTACAAAACCTAAAACACAAATGTACGACGAAACACGTATAACGAAAACTGACGGAGATATTTGAGATTAAAATCGATGATCATATTCAGGAAGAGAAAACAAATTTAAGAGGGAAACATTTGTATTTTACGTAACTAAAAATAAAATATCACTTTAGAAAAGGGTCTTTGATGTGAAGAGATTAAGTGATAAAAAATTGTCAAATTTTTTTTTAATTTTTTTTTTTTTTAATGAAGATCTTATTCCTAGAATCTTACAGAACTCGCGCTCTAGAAAACATTGCCAGACTTCATTGTTGGCACGGAGCGGGTTCTTCCTATTATTCACATTAAATTAAAATAAAAAATATTTATACGTACTTTTAATGAATTTTTGTAGGGTTACCACATTATTCTAAAGTAATAAAACTTCCTGAGCATATTAATAACATATTTTTAAACTTCTAAACTTTACTAATTACTTGTATAAGAATTCTTTTGGCCTACCAAATGCAACTAAATTTTAACTTAAAGGTACTAATAAATCACAAAAATTATCATTTAATAACATTTAAGGCGGATAAAATAGCAACCTCGAATTACTCTGATTTATTTACTAATTGAGTCCTCAAAGCAAACTGAAAATTTTGAAATTGTATATCTCGATCATTTTTTATCATAACGAGTACAACACTTTCCTAAATATAATCATAAGGATCGGAAATGCGTACAAAATGTTAAGATTTCTTAATTTTTACAAAATTGATCACTTAAAATGTGAAATTTAAAAACAAAATGAATATCTGAGTCCTTTGAAACGTTTTTGTAATTGGAAGACTATGACTATGAGCAACGGTTTTGGAATTAAAGGCCAGATTAGTACTTTTGTTTTCACGGTTGTTTTTAGGTTTCGAAAAACGTGGGTACAACTTTGTCGTGTTTTTAATGGCACCTGGAAGTCTTCACTGAAAACAAATAAAGAGAAAGTTATCATCTGCTATAGAAGTTGTGTTCATTTACTTCATCCTCTCTTGAAAATTTTATTTGTTCGCTGTATAAGGTATTTCTCCCGCCTTCTTGGCATGCCTTCGTGGTGTGTTGGTCTGCACGGTGGGAGCGTATTCCAAAGGTCAGTGGTTCGATTCCCGGCGAAAGCGTTGCTAATTTTTCATCTCGCCCGCTTCCAAAGAATTTCTAATGACTCTACAATTGTTAAATGCTGCACATCAGAAACAAATCAGATGTGCACATAAAATGCAATATAGCATTCCAGACTATTATTTATTAGTAACCTATGATTTAAAAATCTACCTAAATAAAGAGAGAACATAAATGCTTCTCATTCAATCAGTTTTTAAAAATCATGTACTTCAAATTTAATACTAAATAGTTTGACACACATTTTGTACGCTTCGGTTATCAAGACCGGATTCGGAAATGTATGTATATATTCATGTATTTATAAATCTATGTGCTCATATACGCATGCATATGTTCTATAAGTATGTATGTATGTGTACACGCACACATAAATTGTATATGCACATACATGCATATACACGTGCATGCATATACATACATTTCTGAATCCGGTCCCGATAACGAAAGAGTGCTCATATTTTAAACAACGTGTTTAAGAAATGTTTAAATGAATGAAATAGTTAAATATTGGATTATTCATAAACTAATAACAGTATACCCCTTATATTTATATTATAAAAGTTTTAATTATTTGACCTTCAGAATTTAATCAGTTAATGCTATCTATTCTTATTTGATTTACGCACGCAAGGAAGTCGCTGGGGAACTGCGAATTCGGCACCCTGTGATCAGAAACAAAAGTTTAACGATAACTGCACATGTGTTTCCCGAAAGTTCTGACAAAAGCTGCCATCATTTATTCAGCATTCATTTCAAGAGAACGATAACTCATCAATCTGCTTTCTAGACAGGTCACCATGGAAACAACAGAAATCGAAACACAGACTTAAACAGAGAAAAATAGATTAAAAGCAACATACCGCAAGGTCACTGACTGAGTTCATCCTCGATGATATTTCTTGAAATCCTGGTTCCTATAAATCAGAAATTTAAATGTCATAAACAGAAATAACAGGAATTTTCAGAAACATATCATGAGCCAGTTTCCAGAATTTCAGGATCTTTCCTCCTCTAATACCACGTGTTTACTTTATAGATCCTCTGCAGCTGTGCATATTCATCCGAAATTAGCATCTAAAGAACATCAATAATATAATTTCTCAGAACAGTTCAGAGTCTACCTTGGCTAGTTGGCTGGCAATATTTGAATGAACTCCTAATACCGATACAACTATCCAACCTCACATTAAAAAAGGCTTATCGAAGCCATTCTAGCAGCTTAACTAATCTTCGTTTAACCGAAATATTACAGAAAATAACACTAAATTAATGATTTCAAAACCTAATCAACTCTAGTTTTTAAACTTATTTCGTTTGTTAAGTTAATACAAAATAATAAAATTTGAACGATCCCAATATATTGTATGCAAAAATAGTGATTAATGAAAAACATTGACATTTCTTCTCAAGGAATTCTAGTACCTGCATTCATTGATAGTTAAGTCAAATTAAGTTCATTGATTACGGCAAAGTACAGGAAGGCTGTGTGCCTAAGGGGAAGGATACCTTTACAATGGACTTTGAGAGAGAAATTAAGTCGTATTCATGTTCACACGGGGAAAAACACGGAATAATTTAATTTAAACGATAAAAAATTGGGTTATATTTGTATTTCTGTAAGTCATTCACTACATCTGAATTTAAGAATACATGCGAGATGATATCATTTCTATATATATTTGGGTTCAGAAATATATCCCACTATTTGTATTATATACAATAAGGCAAACTTAGGAAAGCATATATATATAAAAGGAACAAGGGGAATAAAAAAAGGTGATCTGCTTTTTAAATAAGAGATAGGTATAGAAGTAAGAAATACTTCTGCCATCTTTGTAAGCCCATATTTGTTTCACTAAAAAACATTTTCCGTAAATTTTTTTTTCCTTTACCAAAAATGGTTCTGGAAACAGCTTATAGAAACTCAGGAAAGGCTGTGATTAGTAAAGAAATTACCAGCAACTGCAAAGAGACAATCACAAGTCGCGAAAGATGAAAATTTCAGTACAATTAGAATCAGTGCAACGGATGATATAAAGCCGTGCTCCGCAACCGGTGTGCCGCGGCACACTGGTGTCCCATGAGTACGATATAGGTGTGCCGCAATCAAATACATGTATTTGACATTTTGCAATTTTTTCCCTTAATAATGTCTATTTTAAATGTTTTCATATATTTCACTGTTATGTGTGTGATTGTAAGTGTGTTTTTCGGCACTTCCTTGATAACTCGGAACTCTTTGGTGTGCCACGAAATTCCAGAAAGATTTTTTGTGCGTTGCAGGTGAGAAAAGGTTGCGGAGCACTGATATAAAGAATGCCATATGAAGACAATCGTAAAACTAAAAAAGGCATGAAAATGTATTTAAAAAAAGGAAAACTCTAGAAGAGATCAAATTTCAGTGGTCTCCCAAAAAGGTTCATTTAAAGTTTAATATAGTTTAGCAGAATAAATTATGAATAGAGAAGACAGGTGGAAAATGAAATGTTTTATAGGATACTAGATGACTGTATATTTAGATTAACATGAGAATGTTATATATTATCTGCATATTTTAAAAGAGAAAAAGTATAGAACGTCAATCTACAAAAATATTAAATGTTTCTAATTACGTTTGCCATGAATTGAATGCACTTTTATTCAAATTAATTAGATTAAAATTTACAAAATAATATTCTTAATTACATCTATTGCTTTTAAATAGCTCAGTTTATTAATCAATAACAGACAAATTCGATTTCAAAAATAAATATCTTACATTTCTTGAATTGCAGCAGACTCGAATGAAAAATGAAACATCACAAAATTGTATTTCGAGACGAATAGTCCTTTCGGCAAAAAATAGTGCAAAAATAGCAAATTAGATAAAATAAAAACCAGGCCTACCAATGAATAGCTTTCTGTAGAATTGATGCTGTTCATATCCTTTATTCCATTGGAGCCTTCCCTTTCTTGTATCATGGACTTCCTAGTTTCGTACCTTAGTACCTCGACACCTGAAATATTCAGAAAAAAATTCTCAAAAATGTATATAAATATTTATTTCTATCTAATTTAATCTAATTTTTTTATTTTAAGTACTTCTCTAGTCTTTTATATTGGTTCTATTTATTTATTTCGTATAATTTATGTAACCATTTCAGCGAATATCATATTTTAATTGAACTTGGGCTCGATTATTGTAAGTATGTATTTCATGAACAATGTTATATATTCTGTAATTCTGAATCTATTACCGTGCTCAATTAACAGCAAAATAATTCAAAATATATCTGTCAGAAGCTGAACAATAGGCAAAAACTTACTTGCCGAGCCTTAGCAACAATGTTTGTTGGCAACACTTGGCATTACCTTGCTAACTTGGCGAAATTCTGGAAGTTTCCAGAAAAAGCATTTTTGGAGTCTTAAAAGCCATTTTCCCAAAAGTTTCCGGAAGCGTTGAGCATTTTTATAAATATGGCTCTGTTGAGATATGGAAATCAGTTCATTTCAAAGAGTTAACATAAATGGAACCAATTCAGAATTGATATTATGCTAGGGATAGCTACTTTAAAGTGCATTCGGCGAAGGATATCAGTAATATGCCATATTTCTCACGTTTTAAGAATTCACCTTCTCGCTGATATTCTACTTGAACTATTCTCAGCTGTTTACTTTGCTATAAGCTATTTATTTATTTCAATAAAGTGTCTGTTTCTTGCTGCTCATTTGGTGTAGTTGTTAAAAGGGATCACTGCGAATCCGCAGTCCGGAGCAATACGCTGCTTACCGATTGTCTTAAATGTTAATAAATGTAATGTGCACCAATCACTAATACATCAGAAATATATGTCTGAACTAAACCAAATAATTTATAATTATGTGCTTTAAATTTCATTATTTCTTTTAATCGTTAGCCATTTCAGAAAGAAAACAGTAATTCAAAAAAAAACTGCTAAACACACTTAACATCGTAACACAATGAAGCGGATTTGAAATCATTTCAGTGAAAGTGTATTAAAACTAGGCAGAATTGCTCTAACATGAGAAAAGCAGCCTTTCGTATAGGTGTTGGTACCCATAGCCACAGCATGGCCAGTGAAATGTAAACAGGGCTATTTCTGTTATTTTCATTAATAAAACAAACGAAAACACTTATTGCATAATGAAGTCGCTGTATAACGAAAGTTGTATCGTTTAACTAATTTTAAACTAAGCCAGCACTTATATCCCAGGGTTCCAATTCAGTTATAGAGGTTCATGTCTAGAAGAACAAAAGCCGAAAGTTGCCAGCACCGAGACGCTGCAATGCAAGTCTCAGAAAAATAATTCTGCTGTATTTGGCCAACATAAAATTATTTGGAAAGTCAGTGGAGATCGGTCTGTAATATCCATGGAGGTAGGAAGTAAGAGGAGAGGCTCTAACCTTGTTTTCCCCACTCACTGCTTTGAAGCAGTGGAGATTACTTCGTGGAGACCAAAACATTCAGTGACTTGCTATTAAGGGATCAATGGGTTTTGACATGATCGGTTGTAATCATTTTTTAATTACATCGTAAATATACGTATAAATGTATATATTTGCTTTTTCTACAGTATTTTAGAGTCCTAAGTATGTGAAAAGACTGCATTTTTAAACATTTTATTCTGAACGGAATTAAATGCAATATCTTTTCCAGAAAAGTTTAATTTGAATGAAATATTTTCACAAGTTTTCGTTAATTATATTAGAAAATATTTCAAGGTAATTCGATTTTATTCGGTTAAGGATTACAAAAATTAAGATTAAAGTTTATTGTATTATTAATAGTAAAATGACGCATTATTGCTTTCCTATTTACAGAGCTTTTTCTAAAATACTTTCTCAAATATGAGATGATTTTTTAGCTTCTGAGGCATTTTTTAAATCGAAAATATGATTCAGTTTATAATTAATGCTCTGTTCGGTTCATTTCAAATTAGCACCATTTATTTTAATGTGAAATACGTTAAAGATTGGCGCTGATTTCCATGTACTTAAATTTCTCTGAATATTTCTGAAAGGGAACAAAAAAAGGATATTTTTAAATATTATTTAAATCTTGCAACCGAGTTATTATGTATGGAAATAACTTTAATACTTATCAGATTTTTTTAATCTTAATTTTCAACAATACATATTCTAAAAACTCTTCTTTACTACTTCCTTAAATGCGCATCTCATAGAATTTGCTTTACAATAATACCTTTTAACAGACTGCTTTCCAATACGAGCAATTCTTGCTTAAATAGTTTTATAAACGTATTTGTCAACAGAATTTCAATTAATGTTCACATTTAAATGTTAAGTTTATTATATATTTAGATAATATTTGTAATCATTATAAATTTAGATATATTTAATTACTAAATTTCTTTACAGTAGCTTTCACATGAGTTTATCAATGAATAAATTCTTCATTTCCAAATAAATTTATAAATAATTTAATAACTATTTACGTATTTTGTTAAAGGCAGATACATGCTTTTTTAAAAGCATATGCACAAATACCCATATATATTTAATATATTTCATTTTCTGCATGTTCAAATATTTAATCTCTGTTCATTCACCATCTTTTTCGAGTAAAGTAATTTACTATAATTTACAATGAAAAAGATTTTTCTTTCATAATTTTGTATTACATTTAGTCATTAGGTAAACTTATTGCTAAATAAAATTTAAAAAAAGAAAGACAGAACTTTTTTTTTTTAATTTTTTAGTTAATCCAAAGTGTAAACCCAAAATGATTATTTTGCAGTTATATAAAAATAAAATGATAATATTTAGATGACAAAACATGTATTTTATTTAAAACATTTTGTTGTTTGGAACATAAAATGAAAGTAGCGAATACTCTATCAAGAATATAGAAAGATGTAAACAATTTTAAAGGTACCGTAAAATCGCTGTTGCAAGTTGTAGAGACATTAGGTATTTTTTGGAAGCAGGCAAGATGAAAAATTGGAAAACGCCTTCGCCGGGAATCGAACCACGGACCTCTTGAATACCGGCCCAACGTGCAGAGCCACTACACCACGAAGGACACTAGGAAGACGGAAGAAATTCCTTATATACTCCCCCTTTTAAAGGGGGACTGAGGGTTTTAGAGGACCCAATCGAAAAATACTGGGTGAGGAGAATCATCATCCAACATGCTTTTTTAGTTCCGGCGCCACTGTAAAGACATTAGGTTAATTAAAAAAGCCGGAGAGATGAAAAATGAGCAATCGCCTGCGCCGGGAATCGAACCACGGACCTCTGGAATACTGGCGCAGTGTGCAGAGCTTCTACACCACGAAGGCACGCTAGGAAGACGGGAAAAGTACCTAATAATAAAGTTATCGAAAAATAACCAAGATGCGAATTTTGCGTGAATATCAATAACGAAACTATACAAATTTCTATTGTGAATCCAACAATGAATGTTTCTTTTACGCGGAAATGTCCCGCTTTTCGATTTGTATGGAACTGTCGTGTGTGGAGACACTATTAAAGCACTGTCAATGAAGCTCTGGATGTAAACAAAAAACGCGTCATCTGGAAACCTCAATAAACTGGGAGCAGTGCTTCACTTGCAATGCGAGGTTGGCCCCTCCTTTTATTCTTACTTCCATGGTAATATCGCATACAAAAAAAAAGTCTTACTTGTTGGACTTTCACAATCTATGGCTCCAGTGTGGTCCCTGAGACTAAATCCTCCGCTGTGGCCAGTTCGGAGGAAGGGGAGAGGAGGCAGAGCCCTGCCGCTGTTATACTTGGTGGGCTGTTGAGACGCTTGTGGTCCTTCTGTATTGCGGTGGATAGCAGACACCTTGTGTTGCCATCGCTCACCTGCTGGAGCACTTGAAGACAGACTGGTACCATCGATGGAAAAATTTAAAGATGCAGGTTCAGAATGAATGGTAGATAGTGACTGAAAGTAGATCAAAACAAACTAAATATTTTTCTATTTTTAGGTTAAAATGAAATACGAGTAAAATAATTAAAAAAACATTCTTAAGTAGTAAAGGAATTAAATTTCGGAAATAAATCAAGAAGCTCTTCTGATGTATTATGAGATCTGATGTGCATTATGCAAAACATTTTGGAAAGCAGGCAGGTTCTTTAAAAGTGAGAAAATGTAAGAATAGAAATATTCTAATGGGAAATCTAGTATTCGATCTTCTGCTGTATCCACACGTGTCCGTACTAAGCAAATGTTGAAACAAACATTAAAAAAGGTAAGTTACTTGGATAATGTGTTATAAATAAGTGATTAAATGTAAAGAAATTTGAAAGTAAACTTAAAACAGTATATTTGCAGATTGAAAAAAAAAAAATCAGTTTTAGCAAGAAAGAAATTTGCCAAAATACGCCGTCGGATAAGTTCAGAATTTTGAAATAAGATATGATAATCTATATATTAAATATTTATTTGAATTGAAATCTAGCGATAAGGACGTCGCACCTAAGCGTAAGCCAACTTTTGATGTAATCATAACCAAGAATAATCTGATCCTTGCCAACTACTGTATGTATATATATATATATATACACACTAACAAGATTTGTTCTTTAAATATGTCTGCAGGATTAGTATATGCAACTTTTTTCATTCGTTATGTCTTTCAATGACTTGAATTTTTTTAGCCGAGGGAGGGGGGGGATATTACATTCAACAGGGAAAGAAAACCGATTTTACGATATTACACAATTTTAGCCTTAAGTTTTGAAAATGTTATGTTATCAGACTTTTCTTCTATTCAGGAAATTTACTGTGCATCTATCGTATTGCTGTGAAGAGAACTTTTGGCAAATGGACTCCAACCCTTCGCCTGAGGGCGGTTCTTTGTAGGAAGTGATACTTCCGATTCTCTCCGTGTACTATAAATACATTCTAAGACGTCGACAGCTGAATGCATATAATCAGTAAGTTTCTAGTTCATATGTCTTAGCCCGCCAAAGGCCCGCCGAGCACTAAAAGCTGCTGAACACTGGTAATTCGATCCGGGAATCGAGTCCCGTCGAACGAGCTGGCTGTATTGGGAATTTTCGTGGTTTTTTTCATTTGTAACGTGGATACGAGACCATTTATGTTAAAAAGTCCTCCACGTGACATCTCTCCCTTTCCATATAGTGTCTAGTGGCGAAGCATGTAATAAAATAATTCACATCTCTTTGGACAGCGTGTATAGCGATCAGATTCTCTACTGCCTGGATGCTTCAGTTCTAAAGTTCACAAGCTTACGAAACTTTTACGTAATTTTGTTAAAAAAACATGTGCAGCACGGTTGTCAACAACAATCTTCATGGTCACTTGTCAACATTTGCTGACGAACACTAAGTCCAAATCGACAGGTGATTGGTTAGGTTACTTAAGGTAAAGCGACTAGACGGCTTTCTGCCTATGGAGAAGGGGCTCCTCAAAAAACTAATTTTGGGGGGAAATTGGCATGTATCCACGTTACATATGGGGGAAAATTTCATGGAGACAACCCGTTCGTCCGGATTCGAATCCAGGTTTATATACTCCATTCAGTGACTTCACCGCTCAACCGCTTGTAGTCCAAGTAAATGATGAGAGCATCATCTATTCACTTTCTCACCTGGATAAGAGCATCATCCATTCACTATACGTAAAGGATCTCGTTAAATATTAATAAACAATATATAGGTAAGTCAAATGGAAAAGAAACACGCCAATGTAAAATTAGGCGGAGCAGCAATCTCAGTTTAAGCAAACACTATTCGATTTCGAGGGTGATCAGACACAGCTTTAGCAAAGACTATCGATTTCGAGCGCGATTAGACGCAGGTTTCTCTTCTGCAACTGTTTTTAATCATTTAAATCTAATAATATAATACATCTGACAAAATTCCAGAATTATTTTTTCTATATTTTAAAACATTCTTTTTTCAACTGTACTATTTTATTGCGTAAAACTATGTACTGCTTAAAAATATTTCTACAGCATTTATTTAATTTTTTAAATTAAAGAAGAAAGTTTAATGAACTTTGACTCGGCTAGTTCGTATCCAGACATCTTTATGGATCAAAATTCAACAAAATCCCAGCTATCCGAAACCGTATTCATAAAACGCCAGTCAAACTGAGATAAATAACTTCGATTATACAATGTTTTGCAGCCAATTTTGTATTCAGTAAACATTAATAGAAATGACTTTTTTTATTCATGTACGTCTACAGACGATCAGACGTGAAATTCGTAAATAAAATCTTACTCTTTCAAGGAAACTCTAATGTGTTTCCCCTTACAACTGACAACGAATTGGTTTATGAAGGAAATTTTGAGTTCAAAATGAAAAATCTATTCTAACACATTTCCTTTTTCAGTGTGTTTTCAGCCAAAATCATTATATACTATATTTAAGCATTGTTATTAAGGAATTCATACAATTTCTTTTTAATTAACATCGAAGGTGTTATCAATCTGAAAACTCACTTTTTGTCCATGTCGCTTTTTAAATTGTTGCCACCAAATGTTATCGTGATGTTTTTCTATTAAAGATAATAAATAATAAAGAATATTTATGTATATATATAATGTATGTTCTTCGCACTGAAAAAAAAGATGGCACCTAGAGCCACTACATTTTTAATACATGTAGTCCTTCACCGAACAGGACCATCTCGAAGCTCAGATTTTGAATTTCGTTTTAGTTTTTGACTTATTTCATATATTGTATAAATTTAACGAATTTTTGTTTAACAAATTCAGCCATTTGAAAGCGAAAAGTAACAGCACTTTGAAATAAAGCATTTTTATCTCCAGCGGGCCGGATTGTAGTCATTTGGCAAAATGCTACATATTTATTTTTCAGTTTTAATCCATAAAATTGGCTATTTTAAAGCAATGTGAATGTGTTACTACTGCGCAAATGGAGTATTTATTATCTCTTACGCACCAGCGGATTGCCATTCATAAAGCGTAAGATATTTAACTTTCAAATTTAATTTTGGCTACCGAGTAGCAAATCAAGTGATTGAAAAGCATAAACGCAGTTCTTGGAAATATATTTTGTACTTTTTTAATCTGATTGATTTAAATAAAACTCCATTCAAGTCAATACCTAATTAGAACGATGTCTGTATATAAATAACACAAGTTAAACTCAATCATTATATTCTTTTTTTAATAATTCTGTTAAGCTGCTTTTGAGTGCCTAGCTTTCAAAAAAAAGTAATATTATAAGTATATAAAAATTATGATAACTCCTAACACTATCTGGAGTTCTAATGATAAGCTGCTTTTATGTGATTTTCCTCTTGAACCGTACGAGGCGTAAGTGGAAAGAATGCTATGTTTAATAATAAAGTAACAAAGACAAGGAAATTGTGTTAGCAGGAATGAGCCCAAGATCAGATTAGTGACCTACGATACTCAGCGAAAGCAGACAAACCTTAGCAAATCTTCCGGTGCGACGCTAAAATCCTTTCATATTTTCTTTTTCTTCTTTATTTTTTTTTCCAAATATTTAATTATAGATAAACTGATAATTTATACTCTGCGTAAATTCGACGTATATATGTCTTCCAGACAGTATAGTGGCTAGGGAAACCTACCGTGGTACCGAAGGGCCAGTGTTCGAATCCCGCAGAAGACATGGATATTTCTAAGTGTATAGTGTCCATACGGCCACGAGCCGAAAGTCCTCTCTTGTGGTTTGCTGGAAGAGGAGGGGTGTGTTAGACCCCGGACCATCGCCTGGGGATGCTCTCTCTCAAGATTGGGGTGAAAAACAGAAGTCCAACCTATCTTTGGAGCAGGCTCCGGCATGTAATATGGACAGGACAACAACAACAATTTTGACGTATAATATGTATGTCGAATATATCTACATATCAAATATTATCATTGGTAATAGACAAGGAATTAAGAGCTTTGTGAAATGCTGATATTTCTCATCATATTTCTGTTATGTCCAAGAAAACAGCTGTATTTCAGCCTCAATATAAGTTATTTATGAAAGGTAATTTCAAACTGACTCGATTTCTTTTAGAGTAATCACACTGCTTGATCAGAGTTTAGGTTGCCAATAAATAATATCTCGAGATAGGTTTCCGCGACATTATATGCTACTAATGGAAAAGTTTCGAAAATTGAGTAACATGTGAGCAAGGACAAAATAATAATAACTTCTTGAGCTATGTTCTCGCAACATTACATACTGTTAAGTTAAAAAAAAACCTGCTGTGGACACCATATGAATTCTTTGTAATGCTTAATAAATTGCACACATTTTTTGACGCACTTCATTTAAATTTATCTCTTAGAATTGTTCTAACTTAATTAACCGATTTCTTACGGCAGATTGAAAATGACATATAAAAGTGCAAATTTTGAAATTAAATATCTCCGTTAATTTTTGTCGTACAGGAGTAAAACATCTGGTATTCTAAACTTCTTATATTCTTTCATAGCGAGTAAAAAACTTTCCCAAACGTAAATATAGGAACCAGGAGATCGTATTAAAACTAAGATTTCATTATTTGTGCAAAATTTTTATTTTACATTTGAAATTGCCAAAACTTGAGTATTTTCCTCGTTTTAAACACTTTTGTAAATGGAAGTGTATGTGTCTACGACTAGCGATTGCAAAAATAAAGCCCGGGGAAGGACTTTTAAGGCGGGTAAGGGGTTGGGTATATACATATAATAATTTGGGTACTGCCGATTGAATAGAAAAGGGAGATGCTAACCTAGATGCTATAGTAGTCCTATATACAAAATTTCAACGATTTAAAGCTGATATTTTTGAGTTATGCGAGATACATGCGTACGTACAGACGTCACGAAAAAAAATCTTTTGAATAAAGAATTTTGTAAATAAGTACTCGAGGATTCTTGGAATAAAGAGTCCTTTATTCTGTCCATACTTACAGAGATCACGCAAAAAAAAAAAAAAAAAAAA